AGACCCCAGACACTATATCTTTTGATAGCCCCCTCTAGGTAAATCTCAATGCCCACCACCATCAGCCCATCCGTGTCCTCTGAGAAGCACCCACATCACCCAGTAAGGCTGAGACCCAACTGGCCCCTGATTTCATACGTGAATGTTCTCTGTTTTACTTCTCGAGGTTCTACTCCAAGGAGCCCTGGCGGCACAGGGCTGTGATCTGCAAGGTCAGGGGTTCGAAAGCACCAGGCACTGCAGAAGAAAGACAGGGCTTTCTCCCATCAACAGTTGCAGTCCAGGAAATGTGCATGGGGGGTTCTACCCTGCCCTGTAGAGTCACTAGGAGTCAGTAGCTAATTAAAGGCAACGAGTGAGGTTCCGTTGCAATGGCCACACAGAACTCAGAGAAAAGTCATGATTAAAGGGTTATTTAGGAAGTTAACAAGGTGTAATGTCAATGAGCAATGCTCAGTATTGAGTTGTTTATCAAGACATGTTACAAAATTCTTGTTAAGTCTGCTAACTGCTCTGCTATAAGTCTCAACCAGAAGGCATTCTGTTTACGCTACGTGGGACTGCATGACCAGCTCCCTAAATTAAGCGCCCAGAGGCTCCCCACCCCAACAAGCCTCAGCCCAATGGCACTCAGCTCCACTTGTGTGGGACAGCAAGTCCAACTCCCCCGAGTAAGTGCTCAGAGGAACACCACCTGCACAAGGTGCTTCCTGAACAAAAGCGCTCATTGTCCCTTGCTGTGTGGGCTGGGAAGTCACTCTGCTCCGTATTGCTCCCCTGATGGGACAGCTGTCATCTGGATCCAGGATCTGGAATCCGGATACATGAATGAATGAAGACACTCCACTCCTGGATTTTGCTGGTAATGAGATCTCCTCCTCCTCCTCCTCTGAGAGCTCACTTTACACACAGCAGGATGGCACTCCGGGGAATCCTGTCTCCAATTACTCCAGGCCGGTCCTATCAGTATCTCCCCCAGTCTTCATACCAGAACGATGCAGGGAAAGGTGGTTTGGTGAGTTCCAAATACTTTGGCCTTATGCCATAGTTTGGATGTGCCACCAGGTTGCCACTGTCCCCATCCAGCTTTCAAGCGGAGGTTGCTGCAGTCGCAACATAGAGTTCTGCGCACTCAACAAGCACAGCAAGCCACCGGGGACTCCCTCCTTACTCATCTCTGCAGCGATTGAGTGGCAACTCTGATTTTGCAGTTCCATGTGTTTGAAGAACCCTAAGTGTTTGAAGAGCCGTATTTTCAAGGTGTTCTTAATCACCTCATAAGTTTGTGAAAGTCAGACAATGAATAAGGAAGACTGAGGAAGAATTGATTTCTTTGGATGATGGTGCTGGGGAAGACTATGGAACGCACCACGAGTGCTGAAAGATAAACAAATGTATCTAGCAAGAAGTACAGCCAGAACGCTCCTTAGAGGTAAGGATGGCCAGACTTTGTCTCACTTCCTTTGGACATCTTAGCAAGAGAGACCAGTCCCTGGAGGAGGACATCAGTACAGTAGAGGGGAAGACCTTGGCAAGATGGATTGACAGTGACTGCAGCCTTGAGCTCAAACCTACAAACGGCTGTGAGGCCAGCTCGGGCCAGACAGTCTTTCGTGCTGTTGTGGCGTATAGGTCATTACAGATTGGAACTCACTGGATGGTACCTAACAACAGTAACAAAAACAGGATTCTGATGGATTCTATAATCATTCTGATGAGGGAAAATGATGTCCAGGGCATGGTGGCATGTGGTCAGGCATTGGCTGCTAACCATAAAGCCATGTGGACCCGTCCCTGCATGGGAGAGAGAGGAGGCTGTCTGCCCCTGTAATGATTTAGTCTCAGATGTCATTTGGAGTCCTTGT